AGGGAGGGAGGGAGGGGAGAGAAAATAGAGTAATGGACAAAGATGAAAATGAAGAACAATCATAATTTCACCACTGTGATTACCACTATTGATAATTTATTACCATCCAGGCTTTTTCTCTGCATATATATAGTTTTAAATGTTTTTCAAATTTGATATTAGACTGTGCAGTTGGAATCTTCTTCTCACTTAACATTATATCATAAAAATATCTGTGTAAGTCAAGGTTCAACCAAAGAAATAGAACCAGCAATAGATACAACCAGCCCTCAATATCCATGAGTTTCGCATCCATGGGTTCTGCATCTGCAGATTCAACAACAGCAGATCGAAAATATTCCCCCCAAAATGGATGCTTTCATCTATACTGAATATATACAGAATTTTTCTTGTCATTATTCCCTAAACAATGCAGTATAACAACTATTTACATAGCATTTAGATTGTATTGGGGATTATAAGTAACCTAGAGATGATTTAAAGTATATGAGAGGATATGCACATGTCATATGCAAATACTATACCATTTTATTTAAGGGATCTGAGCAAACATGTTGGCACGTTGGTATCCTGGAGGGGGGGGAGGGAATCCTGGAATCCATTCCCCATGATACCAAGGGATGACTACATTTACTAAGAGATTTATTGCAAGGAATTGGCTTACGTGATTGGCTAGCTAGACCAGTCCAAAATCCACATGGCAGGCCACTGTGGAACTCTCCAGAAAATAAGTGCAGCTGCTGTCCACAGGAGGAATTTCTTTGGCTTCAGGGGAGCCTCTGCTCTACTCTTCAGGCTTTCAGCTGATGGATCAGGCCCACTCAGATCACCTAGGACAATCGCCCTTACTTAAAGTCAACCGATTATGGACTTTAATCACATCTACAAAATACCATCACAGCAATACCCAGATGAGTATTTGATTGAATACTTGGGGACTACAGCCTAACCAAATTGACACACAAAACTGACCATCGCAATATCCAAGTCAGTAATCCTTAAAAACATTTTATAAAGGCCAGGCATGGTGGCTCATGCCTGTAATCTCAGAACCTTGGGAGGCCAAGGCAGGACGATGACTTGTGGCCAGGAGTTTGAGACTAGCCTGGGTAACACAGCAAGACACAGTCTCTACAAAACATTTTTTAAAACAGTTAGGCATGGTGGCACACACCTATAGTGTTAGCTACTCAGGAGGCTGAGCCAGGAAGCTGAGCCAGGGGATCACTTCATTGAGTCCAGGAATTCGAGGCTGCAGCAAGCTATGATCGTACCACTGTACTCCAGCCTGAGTGACAGAATGAAACCCTGTCTCTAAAAAAAAAATAAATTAAGTAAACACATTTTATAAATGTATTTATCTATTCCCTTACTATAAAAAGTCAGCAGTCTTCCAAAATTTTGCTGACATAAACAATGCTGGAATAAATAAAACTGAAGTTAATGCTATAGGAATGTTTGTGTCCCAAAATTCATGTTAAATCTTAACCCCAATACAATGGTATTAGAATACCTTTATAAAAGAGACTCTACAGAGCTCCTCACCCCTTCTACCATATGAGGACACAAAAAGATGGCCTATGAACCAGAAAGTGGGCCCTCACCAGACAGTGAATCTGCTAGCAACTTGATCCTGGACCTCAAGCTTCCAGAACCATAAGCAATAAATTTCTGTTATCTATAAGCCACCAGGCTATTGTATTTTGTTATAGCAGACTGCCAGATTAAGACAAATACCTTTATATATTCAGTCTTCATTCTCTTACCTGATTATTTTATAGAAGTACTACTGCTAAGAAGGAGCTACACATAGAAAGAACCCCAGAAAATTGCACAGGGTCCCCTAGAGTCAAACTGCACATGTGTAAAGTGTGACTCCATGAGATAGGGAGTTGTCCTGGGTAACTAACTTTGACAATTCCTAGAGCTCACACAGGGCTGGAAGATGTTCAACTTTCAAACAGTCAGAATGGAAAAGCTGGAGCATTGAACAGCAATTGAACAGCTGGAGCATTCAAGAGAGATCCCCAAAAAGGCCATGTCTTAGAAGAATAAACTAGCCCTGGAATAAACGTACCCTAGAAACACCTTAACAAAGCTAAAAAAACAAGCTTCTAAAAGATCATGTTGATCTGCAAATAAATTAATTGGCTGTAAGGACAAAACTGAACAATCTTTGAAGGAAGAAAACAAAATCCAGAGACTCAACAACATAGCATTCATAATGTCTAGCATCCAATCAAAAATTATTAGACATTTAAAGAAGAAAAAATGTGATCCAAAATCAGGAGAAAACTTAGTCAATAGAAACAAACCAAGAAATGATAGAGATAATGAAATTAGCAGATAAAGACTTTAAACACCTATAATAAATACACTAAAGGATTTAAAGGAAAACAAGGATAGAAACAGAAGCCATAAGAAAAAGTCAAAAGGAACTTGCAGAGCTGAAGAATACAATATCTAAGGCCAGGTGCGGTGGCTCACACCTGTAATCCTAGCACTCTGGGAGGCTGAGGCAGGAGGATTACTTGAGGCTAGGAGTTTAAGACCAGCCTGAGCAAGAGCAAGACCTGCCCCTACAAAAAAATAGAAAAATTAGCCAGGTGTGGTGGTGCGCGCCTGTAGTACTAGCATTCAGGATGCTGAGGCAGGAGGATGCTTGAGCTCTGGAGTTCGAGGTTGCAGTAAGTTGTGATAAGGCCACTGCACTCCACCCTGGGCAACAGAGCAAGACTCTGTCTCAAAAAAAAAAAACAATATCTGAAATTAAAAATTTACTAGATGAGTTTAACTAAAGATTAGAGACTAAAGGAGAAAAGACAGTAAACTTGACAACAGGGCAACAGAAACTATTCCAAAGGAAGCACAAAGAGAAAAGAGACTTAAGGGGGTAGGGAGGAGAGAGCCTGAAAAAAGCTCAAAAGTCCCTAAGCAGTATAAACACAAAGAAAACCACACCAGAGCAAATTATAATCAAATGGTTAAAACTAATGATAAACAGAATATCTTAAAAGCAGCTGAGGGGTAAGGAATGGGGATATATCACATGCAGGGGAACAAAGAATGCCTACTCACTTCTCATCAGAAACAAAGCAAGCAAGAAAACAACAGAATGACATTCTTTAAAATGCTGAAAGAAAAAAAGCATCAACCTGAAATTCTATATCTGGCAAAAGTATCCTCAAAAATGGAAGATGAAACAAAGACATTTTCAATAGGCCGGGCACAGTGGCTCACACCTGTAATCCTAGCACTCTGGGAGGCCGAGGCAGGTGGATCATTTGAGCTCAGGAGTTCGAGACCAGCCTGAGCAAGAGTGAGACCCCGTCTCTACTAAAAATACAAAGAAATTAGTTGGACAACTAATATATAGAAAAAATTAGCTGGGCATGGTGGCGCATGCCTGTAGTCCCAGCTACCTGGGAGGCTGAGGCAGAAGGATTGCTTGAGCCCAGGAGTTTGAGGTTGCTGTGAGCTAGGCTAACACCACGGCACTCTAGCCCAGGCAACAGAGTGAGACTCTGTCTCAAAAAAAAAAAAAAAAAGACATTTTCAATAAACAAAAGCTGAAAGAATTCATTACCAGCAAACAGGCACTAAAAGAAATATTAAAGAAAGTTCTTCAAGCTAAAGGAAAATAATAGATTTCTACCCTCCCCACCCTATGCCTCCCACCTCCAGACTCTAAACCCTTATTTTGTCCCTTCTCAATCAGAGATCCATACTCGAGACCTGCTCACCTTCTCCTTCAACTTGGTTCACCCATTTAACAATTGTTTTCTCTGAACTCCATTATTTAGCCTTTAAGACTCTGTAGTCTTGCCCCATCCTATCTTTACAAAACTTAGTTTCTCTTACTCCGTATTTTAGCAGTCATTCCAAGTTGTTCACTTTGCTTCATTAACTAGAAACTAAATTCAAAAACTCCCCAAAATCAGGTGAGAGAGAGAGTGCAAGGGGTGGGAAGAACAGAAGGGCAGTCAAGGTAGCAGGGGAACAAGTCCCACCAAAGAAGAAAGAGAGGAGATTTTCCTAAGAACAAAGCAGGCCAGGAGGATCACTATCTAGCAGATAATGCCACAATTCCCACACAAGGACATATCAGATCCTCTTACTCAGACCACAGGGGAGGACTGTATAACTAAGTTTAGAGTAGACGGGAAACATAACTCTTGAAAAATGAGTCTAAGTACAGACAGGGAAACTGTGTCATACTCAAGCGCTACCACTCATTAGGTGCTTGACCACTGGCTCATTTAAAATTCACAATAGCCCAATAAGGGCTATAAGGCAGGTACTATAATTATCACTTCCATTTTACAAAGTAGAAAACCAAGACACAAAAAAGTTATATTGCTTGCCCAAGGTAATACACTCAGGAAGCGGGAGAGCCAGGATGTGAATCCAGTCTACATAAGACTGCCTCCTCAGGTGTTCATTATACCTCAAGCATGAGGGTGGGGGGCAGGATCCCAGCAGTGCTCCTGCAGGGAGAAAAACACAAAAAACTATGGACGCTGAGACTAAGCTTCTAAGCACAGATAAAGTCAGGTCTTTCTGGGAGGAGCCAAGTGCTCAAATTTTGGCTCTGGCTCTTAACTGGTTGTATGACTGCCAACAGATTATTACCTTATCTTATAAGGGAGCAAAAGAAAGAAGACTGAAGCCAAATGACCTCTCATCCTATGTAACTGAAGGACTGTAATGCAGTTTGCAAATATTAAGAGCTAAATAAATGCTGAGATAAAGAATTGGTGTGTTACAAAATAAGAATGAAGAATGGACAAAAGCCACTACCAGATGTCACGCAAGAAAGAAGGAAGCTGCAAAATAGGAATTCCTACCTGGGAAGAGCTTGTGGTTCCCTAGGGACTTCAGGAGCATCAGCCACTGCTCCTGGAGCCTCTGCCTTCTCTGAGCCATGGGCAACCTCCTGCACAGTGTCCTGTGTGCCTGGAGGCTGCACTTTCTCTTCCAGAGATCCACCCAATTCTGTGGTAGGGTCAATCTCTATTTCCTGGACTGGTACTGGAACCAGCTCCTTCTCGGCTGCAGCGGCCACAGCCTTGGCCTCTTCTTCCTTTCTTCTGATTTTCTCTTCAAGTTCCTTCTTCCTCTTCTCATCATCTTGACGGGCCATGTGGTCAAAGGTTTTGAATACCTAAAATCAAACAGTAATCCAGCTATCAGTTCATCTGCTCAACAAAGTACCACACATTCTGTAGAAATGTGGCAAAATCTGGGAAGGAGAAAACTAAAAAGCAGTAAGCCAAAAAGTTTTCCCATTGGCAAAATGGAAACGCCTTGCAATTTCACCAAAAGCTGATAGGAAAACACTCTTTAACAGCAGGGTTCCAAAATCAACAAAATCAAAAATTTACAAGCCAAGGCTAACAATATTTATGATCCCTCAAGGATGCATAGCTAGATGATCTTAGCTGTCATTGTTTTTACAGGCTCCAGTCTTTTCACAATGCAAAGAACAACACACTGACCTGGTACTGTGGGCTATAAAGGCACCAAAAATTCAGACTCACAAATAAAAGACAAAAATGTTGAACTTCAATTCACAAAATGCACCAGGCTTACTTAACTGCTGCTATCTTTCATCAAATAGCCAGGGCTGAAGGGAGGTATGGGCATTCAATTCAATAAACATCCACTAGGCGCCTACAATGTGCAAGGAACACACACACACAAAAATCAAAATGACAGCTCCTGCCTTCTAAGAACTCAAAATTCTGGTATGTAGACAAGTCTTTAACCTTTTCTGGGACACAGTCACACCCATGAAGGTGCTGGGACCTCTCAACCAAAAAAGTACAGTCAAGATAGACCCGCACATGACAACTCTGTTACAAGTGGGGTATGATGGATCCCTCGATACCCTGTCAGACTGTGGGTGGGAATGAGCATTTCTGATAAAAGAAATCTGAGGAGCCTTCTTGGAGCAAAAAGAATCTCAATTAGACCTTGAATGAGGGGCACATCTTCCACAGGAAACCACTGGAGAAAATGCCACAGCTTCAAGAATAGGCTCAAAGAAACAGCAAGAGTTCTTGCAGTAGCTAGAGGGAAGAAGGATGAGAGGACAACCTGGGAAAATGGGTGGGAGTCAGAGTCCAAAGGGCTAGAATGCAGACAGGTATCAAATAACAATGTTCTGTGGGCTGCACAGGAAGACAGAACAAAAGGGTGCTAAGACAGGAACGGTTCCAAATGCTTCTACGAACATTCTCTCAAGCCCCTCACAAAACTCCTGTGAAGATGACAGCATAAACATTTCAAAGATGAGGAAAAATAAGGTTTGAAGAGATTAAGCAACTTCCCCAAGGTCCAGCCAGCAGAAGAAGAAAGTCAAAAATTACATGGGAAGCATCAAACTAGAAGGAGATAATGTAGACAGAGGAAAATCAATAAAATTCTAAAAGGTTAAAAACTGGAAACACCACCAGACCCACTTGTACTTCTGTAGATAATCTGAAGCCCTGACGCACTTCTAACATCCATGTTTCCAACATTTTGGGTCCTTTGCCCTCAGAGCTGCTCACCCTCCTGATGCCCCAGGTCTTCATCTTAACTCCACAAGAGCAAAGCAACAACAAGGACTCTCTCATAACACCTGGGACTTCTAACACAGGACTCACCCAGGTCCTCAAGACCTGATGGTCCTCACGGTGTCCCCTGCCTCTACTCACTCAGTACATCCAACTTCCTCTGACCTGTCTATCCACACCACTAGGAAGCTCTCTCACATCACTACGGACACCTCAATCTCCACATGTTCTCAGCACTCATTCTAGAGTCACAGAATCTCAGAGCTAGCGAAGACCTCCAATCTGTGACTTCCAATTAACCTTCTCAGCTGATAAGATGTGAAATGACTCTCCCAAAATTTCCCAACAAGTTGCATAAGGAATAGGATATAGTTAACTTTCTCAATTCTCATGTCGAGGACTTCTCCTAAGCAACACTTCTCAAATTCAACTCCAGAACACAGATTTGTCAAATGTAATCAATGGCATGTCATTCTAAACTCTTCTTGTCTTAAAACATGCTAACATAATTTTGAAGTGGAATGCAATTTTCACATACGTCATTCCTGCTGAGCATTATTCAAGCTGTGCATCTAGACCATGCAAGTCCTTTAGAATTAGTAGGAAAAGTATGAGAAGTCTTACGTTATACCAACAGTCCACACTCCAAAACAGCAGGGGAAGGCTTTCAAGTTTCAGAATGGTGAAGCCCAACACTGCCATCCACACCCTCTCTGCCTAATTTTAGCAGAGCCACAGAAAGGAGTCTTATGCCATCAAGTCAGGGGAAGAAAAAGAAAACTACTGAGGCAGATGAGTAGGGGTAGAGGGTCAGGAGAGCTGTGCTGATACCAAGTCACTCAATTTGATTCAATATTGTAATGTCCTACCCACAACAAAACCATTGCCAACACAGAAATCAACTTTACAAGCCTCTTGCCAAATGAGCTTCTGTGGATAAAAGAACAGGTTCCCAGGATTCACCCTGATCTATCCAAGATATCCGGGGAATATGTGCTTTTAAAAGTTCCTTGGGCAGTGCTGATTGTTGAGAACCACTTCCAGAAAGCACAACATCCCTCTTAACCATCTGCTGGAGACTATCACTTGGATTTCTGTGAAACTTACTACCTATCCTTCACTGTGATCATTCTCCAAGTCCTGTCCTCTACCTTTGGCTCTTCTCTCTTCCTCAGACCACTCCAGTCCCCCATCTCCTGCCGGATCCAGTCCTGTGATTCCAAGAGCCTATGGACAGGGACTCCTGTCTTCAATTTCAAGTTCAACTTGTCTAAAACTAAAATTTTTCCCCTAAACCCAGATGGCAGTTCAAATTAATGCATTATCATTATTCCAGTCACCAAAGTTTGAAACCTTGTAACATCTTTGACTCATCCCTCTCCTTCCTATGTCCCTGCTCCCCACTTCCACTACTGCATTACACTGGTCACCAAACCCTAACCTATAGGAGTGTCTTAACCTACAAGGTGTTTTATAAATAGTTACCAGATAAATGAGCATACTACCTCTGTCAGTTCATCCATGAAACAAGGACCAAGTCCAACGTCTCAGGTTATGTTAAGGGTTAAATAAGATAACACCGCAGAATGTAAAACACCTGATACTAGTACGTACTAGGCGCTCACTAAATGTTCCTTTCTCCCCACACCTTTCTGCAAACCACAATCATCCCAGACAAAAGTGTTCTCATCCTACTATGGAATGGTTAAATGACACAGTAGAAATATTTGGAATCAGAAAAACGAAGTTTTGAGTTCCAGCTCAATGATGAACTAGTTGTGTGTTCTTGGTCAAATTACTTAACCTTGCTGAACTGGTACATCAAGTTCAACCTTATCCAGTTCACAGAGCGTTGTTAAGATGAAATGACAGCACTTCATTAAACTGCCATAAGGTCCTGCTAAAGGCCACCTCAAACAGCTCTCTGATCATTCAGATGGCATTTGAGCCACTGATAAACACAAATAATAGCCTTAAGTTCTGAAATTGAACCCAAATGGAGCCCCATCCCCACCCCTCATTTGACCATACTACATTGGTAGTTACGGAGACATTCTAAACTTTGGTTTCTTCCTGAAGGCACTGAAGAAAGTAACACCTGATCAACCTGTAGCCTGCAATAAGACTTCAGGAGGTAACATTTGAAGCACTTTATAAACTGTAAAGTGCTAGAGCACTGTGGGAGCTACCAGCATTTCTATCTTCTCACGTTTCTACAAATAGGTTCAGTGTGCTTGGCTGAATACTTTCTCCCATTGTCATCAAAAGTCCCACCTACAAAATCGTATTGATTTCTCAACCATCAATTTCCTTTCCTTCTAACAGGCTCTGTCACATAATTGGCTTTGCAGAGTTCTCTATTACTTTCCGTGTTTTCTCTCCTTAAGTGTTGCAAGGAGAGAGAGACCATTACTTAAACACCCACACCACCAGTGCCTGCAGCAGCTGACAGTGTAACTACGTTCAGTAAAAGCTTGCTTACTATTATAATACATTCGGAAGTGCGACTTCACTGAATGAGTACTATCAGCACTGCAAACATACAATATATCTAACCTGGGTTATATTTAAGTCCAACTGAAAACTTAATCACTACAGTGATTGTTTTCGACCTGGGAAGTCACATTTCAAACAAGCGGCCACACCCACTGATCTGTAACACAAAGCCACCGTCATCCCTGCCACCTCCAGAGTGTTCGGAAGTTCAGGTTTCTGTGGTTGTAAATATCCTTCCTCCCGTTTGGCCTGCACGGATTTCACTCCCTGACGAGGAGCCCACAGCACCGTGAGGCTGTGCGCGATGCTGAGCAGGGCCCTCAGCAGCTGGCTAGCTGCTTGTGACACCTCAGGACGTCCTAGGCAGGCCCTGGCTGCTGCCTCAGCAGAATAACCTGATACCCGATCTGGGCTTCAAATTACTAAAGCCCTTCTCACAGGCTCAACCCCAGGGCCCCAGGTAAAGGGGAAAACAGGCTGGGAAAGCTTGGAGGAGCGGCCATGCGGGGACAGGGAGTAGGGACAGGCGCCGGGGCGGCGGTTTCCCAGACCGCAGGCCCGCCCGCCTCACCTGCAGCACTAGGGCCTGTGCGGCCCCGGGCGGGAAGCCCATGCGGTCCGATGGGTGGCGCAGCAGGCGATAGAAATCAGTCTTGCGGTAGAGGAAGCCGAAGAGCACGCGCAGGAAGTCCTGGACATTGCCCACGTGCTGCAGGATGCCCAGCAAGGCCTGGTCATACAGCTCGGCTGCCCCGGGCTCCATGTCGCCGCCTGCCCAAGGGACGATGCACACTGCAGGCGCCGCCTCAGACCGGCCTACGGGCCACTTCCGGCGTGCGCGACTAACGGCTCCGCCGGTCTGCTCGGCCGCGGAACTTCCGGTCCTCCTTCACAGGCCCAGTGGCCCGGGGCTGCTTTCCCCCGACTCTGCTGATCCACTGGGCTTTATCCTCTGGCGGCCCTCGCTAAAAAGCCCCAGGTGGGCCGCAAACGTGGTTTCTACGCGCAAGGAGTCCCGTGGCTGCTGTGCTGGGCACATCTGAACGCCTTGTGTGAAGCGGGCGGAAGAATTGTTGTGAAGGAAGCGTCACGTGATGCTCGGGGTTTGTCACGTGGTCTGTGGATCTTTGCTGGTTTCTGGGTACTCTGAGCCAGTAATAAAAGCTGGGGGCTGCGGTGAGCTTTTCGTTAGTAGGCCAAGTAAGGGGAAATGCGTGTGTGTGGGTTGTATGATTTTTTTTTTTTTTTTGAGAAAAGAGTCTTGCTCCGTTACCCAGGGTACAGTGCGGTGGCGTCATGGTAGCTCGCTCAAACTCCTGGGCTCAAGCGATCTTGCCTCAGCCCCCTGAGTAGCTGAGACTAGCTGGCACTATGGGCGCCTGCCAGGATGCCGGGCTAATTTTTCTACTTTCAGTAGAGATGAGTCTCGCTCTTGCTGGAACTCTTAAGCTCAAGCAATGCTGCTGCCTTCCAGAGTGCTAGGATTACTGGCGTGAGCCACCATGCCTGGCCTGGATTTCTTATTAATAACAGAGTTGTGAGTGAAACTCAAGGCATTGCATCAGAAGAAATTCAAGATAACAAATAAAAGGAGAAGGAAATAAACGCATATTAAGTGGAAAGAGCTGGGTGCAATAGGGAATCTACTATGCCATCCTTGTAAAGTATGTACTCCTGTGTGTATATAGTACATACCCACATATACACATCATATATACGTGTCATTAGTATCTGTCAAAGTGTAATCTTGGAAAAGTTGAAAACGTGACACCTGTACAAATATATAATGAACACATGTCCAAGATTTATTCAACAAATTAATTTATGAAGGAACCAGTGCTATGGTAAAGCTGGTTCAAGGAGTATTTTGAGGAACTGGTTATTTGTAAACATTTTGAGAAAACATTAGCATAAGATTGTTAGGTTGGATACAAAGCCGGCTGATGTGTTGCAAGATGATAAAACCATAGGTTATATTTTCTAGTGGATAGAAATGATTTGAACCTCTACTGGACTAAAATAGACAAGTTAACATATATCGTCATGGTGTATGGGCTATAACGAATTGTAAATAAAATCAAACTCGGGTAAATTACGCTAGAACAGTGGTTCTCAAACTTTTTCGATTTAGGAACTATTAATGTTCTTAAAAGTTGTTGACTGCAAAGAACTTTTGTTTATGTGAGTTATGCTTATCAGTATTTACCATATTAGGAATTAAAACTTAGAAAATATTAAAAATATTTATTCATTTTTAAATAACTATAAAATACATTACATATTAACATACTTTTATGAAAAAATGTACTCCAAAGCAATGAAAGTTTAGTCAGCCCAGCTACTGGGGAGGCTGAGGCAGGACAGGATCACTTGAGCCCAGGAGTCTGAGGTTGCTGTGAGCTAGGCTGACGCCACAGAACTCTAGCCCAAGCAACAGAGTGAAACTCTGTCTCAAAAAAAAAAAAAAGTTTGGTGAGAAGAGTAGCATACTTTTACATTTTTGTAAATCTCTTCAATGTCTGGCTTTGTAGAAGACAGTGAGATTCTCACATCTGCTTCTGCATTCACTGCATTGCAACATGTTTTAATCGAAGTATATATATGAAAAAATCCAATCTCATACAGATAGGTAGTTACAAATGAGAGGCCTGTTTTGTCATTTCAAATAAATTTGGGTATTTGTCTTTAAAACTACATTAAAATTCTGCAAGTGATAGTTTCTTAAAGGTTACTTGCAATATGGGACCTAAAACCATATCAATAAATTTTTCCTACTCTGTTGTATTAATATTTATTGCTCTACCATGCACTTTGAATACATCTTTATATAAATACATGATTTTGTACCATCATGTGGTAGTCATTTGAAAATGTCGGTCCACTGTGTTTGTTACGAAGCTCTTTCCAAATGTTCATTCATTTCATTAAATAATATTAAAAAATCACGTTTGTTAGAATCACCACTAAACTCATCAGAGAAGTCTTTAATTATTGAGAAGCTGTCAAGCTTATGGAGGCAGGATATGGGTTTTTTAAAAAATTCTAATTTTAGCTTAAAAATGTGAACTTTAGGCCGGGCGTGGTGGCTCACGCCTGTAATCCTAGCACTCTGGGAGGCTGAGGCAGGTGGATTGCTCAAGGTCAGGAGTTCGAGACCAGCCTGAGCAAGAGCGAGACCCCGTCTCTACTAAAAAATAGAAAGAAATGATCTGGACAACTAAAAATACATATATAAAAATTAGCCGGGCATGGTGGCGCATGCCTGTAGTCCCAGCTACTCGGGAGGCTGAGGCAGAAGGATTGCTTGAGCCCAGGAGTTTGAGGTTGCTGTGAGCTAGGCTGACGCCATGGCACTCACTCTAGCCTGGGCAACAAAGCGAGACTCTGTCTCAAAAAAAAAAAAATGTGAACTTTATTATTGACAATAGATACTATCAATTGTTTTCCTTGAGGTAACGGGCTCACTTCATTCTGTCATTCAAGTAAAAATGGTACTTCTTGAAAAGAGGTTCAGCTCACTCAACCGGCAACTTAATTGCCCAAGTGCTTTGCAAGTAACCATTGTCCTTCAATGCATACTTTTGTGTTAATCACACAGAATATTAAAAAGACTTGTTTTCAAGTGTCAAAATTTAATAAAATTAATAATTTTTAACAGAAGCATTATTAAATGAAACTGGCAATTTTTAAACTATAAATGGAAAGCAGTGAAGAATACGATGCCTACTAGTAGAGTCTGGTACCTTTTATGGACTGAATGTGCCGCCTACAAAATTCATAAACTGAAGCCCTAATCCCCAATGTGACTATATTTGGAGTCACACTGGTGATTAGGAGGGCCTTTAGAAGGTAATTAAGGGGGGCCCTAACCTGATAGAACTGGTATCCCTATGACAGACAGGAGGAGACACTAGTGATCTTGTTCTGTGCACACACAGAAGAAAGGCCATGCAGTGACACATGAAATTGCTGCAAGCTGGGAAGAGAGTCCTCACCAGATACTAACATCTTGATTTTGGACTTCTGGCCTCCAGAACTGTGAAAGAATAAATGTGTGTTGTTTAAGCCTCCCACATTTGTGGTACTTTGTGACAGCAGCCCTAGCAAACTGGTGTAGTGCTACTGCCTTGATTCCTGCTAAGACACCTGCACTTTTACCCACCATTATTATTGTACCGTTATTGCAAATGTCAACATAGTAAAACAAGTAACAAACTATTAATAATATTGTTATTTTGGCCTTGGAGACGCCCCAGGGACCACATACTACACTCTGAGAACCGCTGCCCTAGAAAATTAGTGAATCCATGGAGGAGCCTGTTCCATAACACCTCAATATGACTTTGAAAAGACGTGCAGCCATCTTCTTGCTAAATTTAAAAGTTTTGAATAATTTCCTCTAGCACCTAAAAGTATTGCAAGAAATAAAACAGACATGCCTATGAAGAGGGGAAATCAAGGGAAACTGGTGTATAAAATACAAAGAACGCTTACGTTTGCATTTGATACCATGTGCATGCATGCATTACCTATTCAAAAAGTAAGTAAAATAATTTTAAAAATTGAGTGGAAAGCTAAACAATCTTACAAAACAATCCAGCAATCATGCTCTTACATATTTACCCAACTGACTTGAAAATTATGTGCACTCAAAACTCTACATTCAAATGTTTATTGCAGCTTTACTCATAACTGCCAAAAACTGGAAACATCCAAGGTGCCCTCAATAGGTGAATGGATAAGCAAACTGGTACTTTCATACGATGAGATACTATTCAGTAATAAGAAGAAATAAGCTATCAATCACCAAAAATATATGGGGCCCAGGTGCAGTGGCTCACGCCTGTAATCCCAGCATTTTGGGAAGTCAAGACAGGAAGATCACTTGAGACCAGGAGTTCAAGACCACCCTGGGCAATATAGCAAGACTCAGTCTCTATTAAAAAAAAAAGAAATTGAAAATTAGCCAGGTGTGGTGGCACACACCTATAGTCCCAGCTACCTGGGAGGCTGAGGCAACGGGATCACTTGAGCCCAGGAGTTCGAGGCTGCAGTGAGCTATGATCATGCCACTGCACTCCAGCCTGGGCAACAGAGCAAGACCCTGTCTCTAAAATAAATAAAATTATATATATATATATGTGTGTGTGTGTGTGTGTGTGTGTGTGTGTGTGTGTATGAAATGTATATTGCTAAGAGACAGAAGCCAGTCTGCAAAGGCTACCACCCAATTATATGACATTCTGAAAAAGGCAAAATATAGAAACAGTGTAAGATCAGTGGTTGCCAGGGTTTGGATGTGAGAAAAGGTTGAATAGGTGAAGCACAGAGAATTTTTTAGGATTAAAGCTAGTCTATATGATAATAATAGATACATGACACTATGCATTTGTCAAAACTTCATAGAAATTTACATAAAGAGTGAATGTTAGTGCATGCAGTTTTTTTTTAAATATCACTTAGGAAATTGGGGGATCCCAGAATGGGGTGCAAAATGTGACAAAACAATCTGTGTTACAAATGTATGAAAAAACCTCACTGAAGGAGGTGGTAAAAAGAGATGCTGACCTACATAATTTTGGAAATGAGGGGAGTCTGTAAAACTAAAGACAAAAGGAATTGTGTATAAGCACTGAGCTCTAGTTGATAAAGTTATTTCCCATGGGGGTATGGGTTATCAATTATGAAACCACTAGATATGTATAGTGGAAATGAACAATTCAGTAAATGGTTGTGGGTGGTGGGAGCCAAGTTTCTTACTGGTGGAGTGAGAGGTTATAAATAAGCAGGGTATGGAGGCTAGAATGATCCATGTGGTAATAGATCAGAATGGCAGACATCAGTAAG